CAATATATTTATTTGACAAAGTAAGATTTTTTATAAATGAATGAATGACTTGGAAAAAAATAAACCCCTTATTTATCTCCTAAAACATGCTTAATAACCATAAATATTGCTCATTATTTTTCACTGCTTAACTTTACAAATGGTGCCCATTATGTTCGACCTGGCTTTTTAATTGAAGACTAAGCAGAACGAGGGTCAGAGGTCACCTGCTGGAGCCGAATGGGTCAGCTGCTCTGGTCAGAACAGGACCACCCTTACGCTTTTGGGCCCGGTCTTACCTGTTCTGTTCTTTTCTGTCTACAGCTTTATTACTCTCAGAACTATCATCAGAAGATCCGACAGGACTGCGCAAACTTCATGAGAGCCAACAGGTGTGACTTTGAGCCGGTAAGTTCATCACTAATGGCTCTATCAGAACCGGGGAAGTCCTAATACAAACTTTATTTAATTTTGTATTATTTCTGATATGATATTGATGATATCACAGCTTTTAGTACTATACCGATATTAAAATTAATCCTTGGGAATTAATTTCGTCGTTAGGGAATGTAAGAAAAGCTTAGTTATTTTACTTGGAGAACAATAACAGTAACCACAGACCCATTTAAAACTGGACTGATTCTATCAGCATGCTTATATCAGACATTCTATTGTTGATTCAATTCCTTTTATTTTTTATAGAGCAAATATACAACATATGTCATCTCAAGGCACTTTATAGCAACAATTTTATCTGATCATCCAATCAGATTAAAGGTTCAAAGTGTTAATATCTATGGAAAACCAGCTGACTGCATCCAGTCATTGATTTTGCTGGATTCTCTCCATCTGGATGAGCATAGCGACAGTAAATATTTGCTTGCATTGTGCCATTAATCTTCTGCAATCCCTCACACCAAGCATGCAAGCAGCAATACTGGATAGGATAAAAAACACCTTTAAACAGGAAAAAAAGCATTCAGCAGAACCAGGCTCGTGTGAGCGGCTTACTGGGGGCCTAAAGGAGACAGAAGCAGACACTCAAAATAAACATGGTAGCACTGATCTATAACTACTTCCTATGTTAGGAAAGGTTATGGTAAACCAGCTCCACAGGTGGCTCTGTCTGGGAAAGAAACTGTTAAGCAGAATAGCTTTGACCCAGTTTACATGTCTAAGTATGAAAGAGAGCACATCCAATCAGTCACAGTAGAAGCTGCGTCCATAGATATGGTTAGGAGAGAAACTGGACTAAACACTGAATGAACACTATATGTTCTATAATTGAAGTTGTTGGAGGCAGCAGCTGAGCTGAATGGTGGCACAGCCAAACAGAACCAGACTAGATTTGAGTATATTATTTTTCAAAGTGTCAGATATTGATAACAAAACTGCTATTTTCAATGACTACTTATTTTTGTCCAGCTTTAACATCAGTATCGATATCGGTTATCGGCTACATGAGTTTTAAATATCGGTATATCGGATATCGGCCAAAGTCCCAATATCGTGCATCCCTAATATTTAGATGACCTGTGCGCTGATTTACAACGAGCGAAGCTGCTGAGCAAAGATGCATCATAGCAACAAGCACTCACTCACTGAAACATCAAATTGTTGATATGGTAGGGTGACCAGACGTCCTCTCTATCCCAGACATGTCCTTCTTTTCATACCTAAATGTCTGGGGGAATTTCAAAATCTTCCAGGATTTTGTTCGACTACAGTGCACCACGTAGTCGAAACAAACCTGGCATTCGAACCAAGCAGTCAGCTCCGGGGCAGTTCCGGGAACCTCGGCGCAGAGGGGGAGGTAGCCGGCGGGTGACGGCATACCATCACCGGGTCGGGTTCAGACGTTCCGTCCCCAGTTGGCTTCAGACCCGGACCAGGCTTGGAGCTGATGGCTCGGTTCGAGTGCCCAGTCCGGTCCAGTCTATGGCCCAGCAGCCCCTCAGGACAATGGCTTGTGCTTAATTTCATGGGCATTACGCTGCCGTGCGTTATGCATAAGTTGGGCCGTCGTTGGACATAAGTTCTGGACTCGTTATGAATATGCAATGTATACGCCCAAGATTGAAAAAAAACATAGAAAGTCCCCATATGCCAGCATTTTAGGAGATTCTAGCACGCCTGACATCTAAATCAGCAAGGTGTGACAGGGCCCTAAAACTGGTAATTGGTTCCACAGGAGAGGAGCCTGATAACTTAAAGATCTGCCTCCCATTCTAGTTTTAGAAATACTAGGAACCAGTGGCGGCTGGTGAAAAATATTTTTGGTGGGGCTGATATAGCCT